CGGCGGAAACGGTCGCCGTAAGGCAGAAGGACCATCGTATTCTTCCAGCCAACAAGTTCCCCGCCCATCTGAAGCTTAGGGCGATCAGAATATATCGCGCTTTTCTTGTCCAGCATGTCGCTAGCGATCTTTGCTGAATTGAGAATTATGAGGGGTTGGCCAAGGACCGTAACTGAACACATATCCCCTACGATCTTGTCAGCCTATGAATTATGTTGGGGAGAAGAGACAAACCGTAAGCTTCGCCCCAGCGAGCAAAAGTTAACCATTCCTTCTCGGCGGGCATGTCGAGAATATTTCCGACCAGCGGAAGACCCTTGGGACCAGGTGGGAGAGAACGAGTTCTGGACGAAGGAAAAATGGTCTTCAGGATAAATAAGGCCAGTAGGATAATAGAGGCATCGACGACTATCATATAATAGGAAATCATCGCGGCGATGTGGGTGAACGAGGGAAAGAAATAAAAAAGAGTTGTAACTGGTCGGCGTAGAGATGATTTCAGGCCTTTAAGTAAGTTATCAAGAGGGACTACCAAGATAGGATCAATCCCAATTCGGATGACGGGACGAGTTTGGTTTCTTCTCATAAGATCGTAGTCCCAAATTACGATAGAAGTCCGCGGTTTAGTAGCCCTGTTGCTGCTTATAGCATCTCAGAGGCCATGAGGCGGCGACAGACATCACTTTTGTTTTGACCATCACGCAAGAGGCGAGACAGGTAAGGAATGAAGATGAATTCTTCAGGCGTTGTTGATGGGTACACAGTGCGCGTGTTCAGATCCCTTCAGATTGTCCGTATGAATCGCGTCTGGAGAGATAGATGAAGCCTTTCCATAAAGCACCACTCTCCAGATGCGGGGTGAATCTGCTTTTGTAGACGCTTCTCAAATGCCTTGAGGGTCTTGAAAGAAATTGAAAGAATGATTACCACGTCGAGGTTTGCAAGAAGGGAATCAGCAAGGCCTGAGCAATGCCGGAAGATTCAGAGCGAGCGACACTGGCATCCTCCGGCGCAACAGCTACCAGCGACTCAGAAGCCTGAAGCCGTCCTGCAGCAAGATACGGTGGCGCTGATCCAGTGCCTGCGTGCCTCGTCAGCGCGTCAGCGCGTCAGCTGGCAGAGTGCACAAATGTTTTCGGATATTCAAAGCCGTCGGTGACGAGCATTTACAGCACAGTGTCAAATATGATCCCCCCACAATGACAACGTCCGAGTCCATAGAAACGGTAAGTTGTCCAATTTGAAGCTTGAAGCTGGAAGTTTGTACAACGGCTAGTCGTTCACGAAAGAGATCTCCAATTTCGAATCCGGTGACTTTGAGGCTTTGACAGGTTGCAGGAGGATCCGGAAGGTTCGAAGTCGAAATTAATGAATAAGGATGTGCACTGTCACTAAACTGCGGTGGGCGGGAACATAGAAAAACAAACATCGATTCCGTGCTACAAACACGTACATTCCCGTGGGAATTTCAAACTTCTGACTTCAGATTGTACATCTCCTTCCCATCCGAAATCCATCATAATAAGTACTACACCGCGAACACACTGTACGGAGTATATCCACCCGACCATGGAAACAAAGTACACCAAGAATCGCATCCGACTATGGTACAGAAGGTATACTACATAGGCAAGCATTCAAAAAGACCTCTCTGTCACCGCAGACTAATTAAAATCATTACGGCGTCAGTCAAAACTTGTAGAGTGTTCGAAGTATCGAGATACTGACTTCCGGTTCTGCAGGATCATCAGGGTCATGACGTTGGTCGCGTATAAAGTCGTGCATCGTGTCAATCTTGATTGATATGTTCGTCGACCTCTAGAAAAGATTTAGAAGGATATCACAAAGACGGAAGATGGAGGGTACCGCTGAGTTGGGGTTCCGTTGACCGCTCTTGGAAATGCTTTGCAAAGAGAAGGAGAGCTCGTCACTGTTTTCTCCGAGTCCTCTGATGATTTGCCTTGCATTTAATGTAGCGAGGACTGAGTTGCTGTAGACTGAAAATGAAGGTAAGTTAACGGCACCATCAATGTCACTCGCAAACTTACGGCGCCCCAAGCAGAAATAAAACGCAACGTAAATCAAAGTGTGTCCTGACGCAAGTATCTGAAAGACGATAAGAAACGGCAAATTCAGATGGTAGTTCGACCTACGGAAATGAGGGAAGCAACGGCACAAATGCTGGTCAACAAACCAGTGCTGACGGTGAATGCTATCTGAATGAAAAGGTTAAAATGTTAAACGGGGCCCCAGTTACCTCATTACATAACCTTACCAATCTACTAATCATGGTGTCAGACCTGAGCACGCGCCAGAGGTTAGCAACTATTGGAGCAAGTAAGAACTTAGAAGACCTACTTCTTAAAGCCTGTTCGTGACCTGTGGAGGAAGACGAACAGAGCCGCGGCGATGAGGATGTCGGTGACCGCGCCCAGCAGATTAACTGCCATGGAAAGCCCCTAAAGATAGTGCGCCAAGGATTATCAGCCTCAAGTCCAAAATGAAATTGGGTAGTATAACCTTGAGCTGCTCTAACTGGACCCAAGTCTGCAGTTGCATCCTGATGATAAGCAGAGATAAGTTACTTTTGATTATTAAATGTCTCGAAAGGCTTACGATTGTGCTGTAAAGGCTGAACGGTGGTCTTATTCGCTTCAGAGCCTCAAACGAAAACATCTGAGAAGCTTACCGACAGAGCAACCTTTCGGGCAAGTCAGCCAGGTTGTCACCGTCAGAATAAGTTCGATTTACTAAAGCATGCAAGAACCAGACAACCCTATCGGCCACTTAGATTCAGAATATAAAGCACGCAGTTAATGTGATGATACACACCAGAACCACCGTCAAGGGGACATTATTGCCGCTCACTATAAATGATCAACGAGAGCCCTGATTCTGCAGGCTAAAAGACCTACGTCTCCAGACACGCAAAGTGAGAAAACTAAGAACGAGGAATGAGAAAAACTATTCTTCAGCCAAGAAATATGCGTACCCTTGGACCAACAAACCGATCAAGCCCTATTCTCGTGATTAAGGAGGAGGCTATATGATTGCACTGGAATCACACTTACGTTAAACAACACTTCCAGCTATGATGATGATGGTCGTTCAGGAAATGCTGTGGTCTCATGAGAAACGACGACGCACGAGGATGCTCCTTGAGGAAATGTCAGAAAGGACGAGTCGTCAGCATCTGATTTTAATGCTTACCATACGATGTCGTTGAGTGTACGAGGGTTATTATAGTTCGTGATGATGTAATGGTACACTGGAGACGAAGCATTAGCGTGTCTCAAAGAATAGTGCTAATAAATTAACCAGTGTGAGAAATCAGAGCTTGGTGAATTGTCTCGAAAACCCATATAGCCCCAACCTAATGAAATAAAATGTATTAGTAAACGGGTTCAGGGGTAGGAGATTCAAAGCAAGTCGCACCAGTGCTTTGATGTACCAAACGTCCTGAACGGAGCCGTAAGAACACTCGAGATAACCAATACCAATCATGAGATGACGCACTTGCTGGTATTTTATGAAATAATACCAAGCCTGTACAAAGGAGACTGCATCTTCTTCTGAGAGATGGATCCGATAAGAGAACAGAGCGCTTACCTCCATACAGTCTGAAGAATTTTCAAGATACCGTTCAATATAGAGAGCGAGTATGTGACTTGATACCTACATTCCGGCAGCCACAACGCCTATGTACGCCGCACCCATGCTGGGGGGAAATCAGACAAGATAAACCGAAGGAAGATGGAGCAAACAAACGTGTTGTCTACATGCATTGGAACTGCGAGTTCAGCCATACTCTCCGACGGGGGCGAGCTCTCAATCCTGAGAAGAAAGAGGTCGAGAGGTCAAACGCCGAATCGCTTTCGTTTTGCAAGGTCTTAAAGAAAGCAGGAGAGGCACAAGGAAGCGCAGGGAATCAGTCAAGATTCTGGCTACTCCGTCCTGGGCATACGTACTTGGGAGTGAGTCCATACGGTAGGTAGGAGGAACACGCTCCGGGTCTCTTCTGGACAAAGAACGGATGATACATAGCACCTTCGTCTCCGAGAATCTTCTAACGCGCGGGTTGTGGGTGTTCTCGGCGATAGACCAGACCAAGGGAAGCTGAAGCAGGCGTCATCACTACCTAACTTGGCGGGACGATGGTTTTTAAACCATTTTAGCGCAAATCAAACACGTAAAGTGCCTAGGATGCACAAAGGATGCATGCATCGTGATTCTGAATAGAAAGGGTCAGATAAATTTTCAGATTCTTTGGCCACGCGCTACAAACCTTTGATAGAGTTGTTACATAAGAATAGCTGCAGGCAACGACGAGCCCGTTCCAATGCAACGTTGTACGTGTGGTGGTGGTCAGTGTTGTGGACTAGGGGAGCGCTTGCTCAACTTCGGACCACCGTGCACGTCGGCAGGGCTTTACTGATAACATGGTGATCAAGTATACCGCGTGGGCAGTTGGCGAAATGCCTTTAATATGTTCTTGTCAAAGCGGATAGCATGCGCGCGAGAGCAGTGTATAAAATTGCAGAGCGTAAGACTGCCTTCGTGCAATTTCATGGAGTCTTTCGCCCTTCGACATTTCTAGACCCAGAGGTAACAAAACGAATCGAAAATTTCTGCCCCACTCATTCGTCCCTCCGGGTTTAGTTTTCCGCATAGAAACACGGGAAATAGGAGTCCAATCCATGAATTTGGGTATCGATGGAGATTAGGCAAATCCTCGAGAAAACTTTAAAGTTCAAGCCATGGCGGCCTGAACAAGAGGACGGGCATATGGCAGAGAGGATGGCAAATTGAATTGTCGCGGAAGTGGGTCCAAACAAGATGTGAAAGCGAACTGGGGAACCACGCATGCGAAATGGCCTTTCTGCCGCGCCTTGCTGCAGTTGTCGACGTCGCATCAGAAAGCGTCCGCGACTGTCCAGGTTTGGTCTTGTTCAAGCGGAGTTGAAGAGATGAAAAGCTATGAAGTTTTCAATTTTTACAACCCTTCGATAGCTCAATCTGGAAGAGCGCAGGACTGTAACGGAAACCGTCTATCCTGAGGTCGCTGGTTCGATCCCGGCTCGAAGGACTACTTTTATGTCTGAACGTACAGCAAGTACTCCATGGCCTTCAAGCAGGACTGACTCTTTTTTTTTGCTAAAAAGATCGTATCACATCGACCTGGATATAAATGGCACTCCGTGCCGAGAAGCCGCCGGAGACAAGCCTTACGTCACTTCCTTTAACTTCAAGAACGACTCTGAGTAAGCTTACAATACGGTTACATATCTAGATAGCTTCAAAGGTTTATCTCCCTTTCTCTCTCAGTGATGAGTCGATTGGTATAAGTCGATCCAGATCGACGATACCCGCTACTTCTTTTCCAAAGCGCGGTGCCCGGAGTTGAGGCCTGCTTTATAGAAGCCTCCATCTGCTAAGATATGCTATGTAGATAATGTACTTAGAAAATTAATGTAACAAAAAGACCTTTTTATTCTGACATAACACTTCCCGGCGGCCCGCTTCTATTTGTTTGTTTCCATCGCATATGTTTCAACTTTCCACAACATTCCTTGGGCGCAGTCTCGTCGTCGAGCACCTCTTCCCCCAGCATAACTGCTAGCTACAATATTTGCTTCATTTATATATTTAAATGGGACTGTTACCCAATGGAATAGGTTCGTTACAGTTGCTGTTCTATGTTTTTGAGCTGATATCAACTCCGGCCAGACACAATGCTTCGGCGCTGGCAAGGCATCTGACATCGCACCCCTCTCGTTTAAACCTCACAGCTGGGGCTTATCGAATGTGCGACAACAGAGGGCCGGGCTGTGGCCGCGTCTACATACCACTGCGCCCATGGCTCCCAGCTCAAGAGCTGTAGGCAAAGCAGATTCTTATGGTGTGTATATAGTCCTTCTCTGTTACGTTCTTTCCCATCTGATCATTTTGAATTCATTTTCAGTAGACATAAACATTCTTACGATTACGACAGCCGACGGCTATTGGCCTTATCTGCAAGCAACAAGTATGTTGTTGTTAGGCTTAATGAAAATACAATATTATGAATCAAGTAGAGCGTCATGAAGTGTGCTGAATGAGGAAGAGTGGACATCGGGGTCGTACAGGATAAACGACGGCAGAGGGGCTGCTACCAAGGTACGCGCTATGTGATTATATGCTGTGGCTTGTCCCGAAACTGAGTTGAGGCCAACGTAGGACTTTTCGGCTGGTCTGTGGGTATGGGCTTCTTGTCCATTACTTGGGACCATGGTCAAAGCCCCCGCAAGTGTGGAGTAAGTGCTTTGCGGGTATTGGAATGCCCCTTGGTATGAGCACTCACGTGGGGAGGCCTCAAAGCAATGCTCGGGACCGCCAATGTCTGTTGTTATCGTGTCGTCAAGTCCTTCCTCGTATGGATGAGTGTTACGGAGACTATCCAAGTCAGTGACAAAGGACACTTCTGGGGCTGGCGCTGGTGCTGAACAACGGCCTGGGCCTGCGAATGGACATTATTATTAAGTAGTTGTGAGTATCATATCAATGGTGCGGTAATTAGACAACTTACCACTCTGTGTTGTATCAAGATCATGGGTTTGATGTGCGATACGGCGTTGAACAGCAACTGTGAGACTGGTATGTTGCCATTCACATAAATAAGAACATTGACAGACAAACCTACTCGACCAACAGATCGTTCAAATCTATAAAAGTGTGTCGACGCCTGGTCACGGGTATAGATCCCTTGACTAGCATGAAGGTTGAGGCTCGAAAAGGCGCGACGGTCGTATTGCCACCCCCGCATAACTCCGCCAAGAATAGTGAGGTTAACACCGTCACGATAGACGGCCCGATGTGATTGCTCATTGCCATTTGAGCTCGGCGGCGAGGCCTTCCAAACGTGGACTGGAATAAAGCTATAGGGGCGATAAAGAGCGGGAAGTGCAAACGGACTTCCAGTACGTTTATCTTTTAGCCATGCTAGAGATATTTTTTTAGATTCAATGAAAAATTTGCAAGAGTAAAGAACATACCGCGAGCTTTTGGGCCTCCTCCGTCAATTAGCTGGAATGCCTTTTCGATGTTTGGGTGCGGTTCCGATGATGCGAGGCTTAGCATGGCAATTCTAACATCGTTGCTAATGTATAGTCGGAGATCGTGAATGTGTCGTTTGAAATGGACAATACAAAGGCGAAAGAAACGGCGTAGATGATCATATGGACTTAGATTGCGCAAACGACGTGCCGGTTCATATTGACAGAATGCATGGAGATCCACACATAGCGACTGGCAGTACATCCCAAGTCCTAGATTACCGAAGTATATGGCACTTAGATCAAAATAAAGTGGTTAGAAAGGAGACATACCGAGAGCCTGCCCTTTGTGAGCATCGGCAGTGCAAACTGAAATACCTGAGCCATGAATGTGCCGAAAGCGCACAGGAAGGCCGGTGTCTGAAGTTGCAATGTTAAATATTCTTGTGAAAAGAATAAAATGAGCCTGTGCCGACTGGGAGGTCGTAAAGGCCCTGGTTGAAACGACGGCTGTCCAAAATATAAAACACATTAGTCAGATAGAGAGAAGTATATAGAATAACCGACATCGCATATGATTAACATCCCAGGTTTCGATTTCAAACTCTTGCCATTTATGATGTAGACGTTTGAAGGATGTATCGATCGAGATGAATTCCGATTGCATAAGATATGTTGACATTGCACGAGACATGCAAATGACGAGATAGAATGTTTTTCCATCATAAAGTGCGTGTGTCTCTGCGCATCGAATATATTGTTCATCATCTGCCAGTAACCGATGCTGTTCAACAAGTAACTGGGCACCTGTCAATGATTATTCATGTCAAGGTTCAGAGAAGACGGAAACAACGGAAAATTTACCTTCGAACCCGGTTCCTTTCGGAAAAACATCAAGGCGTAGTTCATTGATGTATCGGCGCGCATGGTCCATATTTCCGAGAGAGGGATGGAGATCAGCAAGTGAAGGATCGAAGGGCTTAACCCAGCCTAGATGCTGCCGCAATCCCTGCACGAATCCTGAGTCAATCATGACTTTCCGCGGTGTCGCGTCAGCGAGCTTCCAATCAAGACCTTTCAAGAGACACTGAAATACTTTGAGGAGTGGAGGCGGTGTCTTTACAGGAAATGGGCGCGGGTGCGAATGTCGATCCTTACATATAATCAGGACTTGAGGACAAGAAACGAGGTCATCCGGTGTGTATATATCATAGGTAGCTGGGCATTTCCCACTCTGACGCTCCAGGCGACCGCGCCGAAGTTTACCATCAGAAAATCTATGCCAATGGGCTAAAGCGAAGGTAAGCTTGTGATAATGAGTCGAAACAAATTCCTTACGGCAGAGTTGCTTTTGTGTTGAAGGCGACGCTGTATACGAGCATCGCATTCGAGGACCGTAGTCCAATTTCAGTGCCTGGGTCTCGTAGTCATGAATCACGGCCTTGTCATCATCAAGAAGCGCCCGTAGATATGATATTTCAAATTCATCAAGATTTCGAATAATCAAATGTGCTGTATCCGTTGATTTTCGATGCTGACAACTAAAAACATTGTTGTTAATCTACACACAAACCGTAAGAAGACATAATGCACATACCGTATAAATGGTCGACTATACTGATCATTATACATTCTGATCTTTCCTTTGCAAAAGTTTCCAGTCTCTCCGTGATAGCGGCAGTCTCGAGGTGGCTGTCGCAGATTTTCTGAATCTTCACTGTCGGTGTCCCATCCAGCATCATTTTCCTCGTCGTTAGCGATGTTGCTAAAATCCTCGCCATCAATAGCTACGTCAAATGAGCAGCCTTTATTGGAAAGCGCGCAAAAAAAAGCCAAAGTTTTATTAAAGACCTCCTCGTCGGCAGTCGGGGAATGGAAAGCTGTATGACTGTCAGGACTGAATTTCTCGCAGATCTTCAATCCTTTGCCTATTTTACAGATTTGCGCAGACATCAGTTTACAACAATATAGGATCACCTCGAAAGACTTACAAGATATTTTCTCGTTCTTACAGGAAACTCCTGTACCACTACCTGTATTACGGAGAAGTCTGCATTCAACATGCTGCCGCGTTCCGTGAATATCACCGAGAGAATACTGAATGCTGAGTTTGGGATGGAGAAAGTCGTCTGGGTTGACAGAAAACCTGTGTCCGACAGAAATATTTGGACCTTCACCCGTCTCGGGATATTCGACGATTGACCCAAGAGGGTGGTCAACCAAAGCATCAATATAACTTTGTCGGTTGACCTGATTTTCGCGTCGCTGCTTCTCATCCGGAGTGAATTTCCGAGCAGGGGTTGGATGGTAAAGATATCCTTCAACGTTGGGTGAAGGTCTTGATGGTAAGTGGTCGACAATTGTTGAGGCAATGTATTGTGCGTCATTTTCCAGAACATCAGTGTCGCCTAGAGTTAAGCCAGCCTCCTGAAACAATCGCTTCGCTTGACGGACTGCTGCTTGTTGGATATCAGAAAGTGGCATATTAACGAGCACCGTATTTTGAGAGTCTTAACATCTAATGTGATACGGAAAAGAAAAATTTGAGGGCGCTCCGCGGCTGGCAGCAAGTGTCGAAGTCGAAGAAAACATAGGGGCTTCCTTTTTAACTAAACTTTCTATCCGCTTGATAAATTGTACTGTGAAGTTCGATTTGCAGCGGCAATCCCGTTGTCGTCGCAGAGACAGGCCCTTTTTATACATTGTTTATATGATCGCAAAATATGTGCACTGTTCCCTTACCTTCTTTCCCTCTTGTCTCATGTCTACTCGTGAGATGGACCATTCAGTCTTCGTGCATTGCCGGCAACTGCAACGGCGTAGTCCCAACCTGGTTATATACTCAAGAGTTGCTGGCCAAATGGTCGAATCAGCCTAGTGAGCGCCTAATTTTCCGTTACTGTATGTCGTTAACATCAAGATCAAGTCCACTTACAAGCAATGGTATTCCTGTTCTTCCAACTGGGATGAAGGATTACGTCCGCGAGCGAGAAACATTCATCGAGTGCAATTGTGGCATTTTGTATCCAGCTGCTGACCACGAGCCACTCTCCTG